AGCGAGTTTGTTTACATTTTAATATGCGTACCATTGGGTTTATTCATGTTCATTAATGTATTGAATAAGATATGAGTTCATAAAATTAGTAGACATTTATAAATTGTAAGTAGACATCATCTGATTAAAAAAGATCTGTTTAGTACCTTTTTAATTTAATATTTCTCATGAATACAAATAAATTAGTGAAATGAATAAAACTCATTTATTTTTCTATGTAGGTTTCCAAATAATATTGACGATCGAACTATTTGGGTAGCAAATTAAGGAGAAAACATAAAGATTTTTTATTGTAGCATTTTGATACTATTAAAAAATTAACTTGAATTTAACTATATTTAATTGTATTAATTTTAAAGCAAATAAAATTGTATTTTAATTTTTCTATAAAGACGTGATTTGTGAATAGTTAAACTCTCGTTTTAAACGTGTTTTTATACATTATTACTACTTCCAATTTTTAAAATCTGAATAATTACCCGCGAGTAAAAATTCAAGCACGATTATGCACATTGCGGAAGCATCACATTCTATCGAAGCTTCAAAACATTGTGTGTTAAAGGTATATTATTGCTTTGTCCATCTACGTTTATACGTCCATGTTTCCAACGAACAATTACTTATAATTTAAGTATAGATAGAAAATCAAATCTGGTTAATATGTAGGTTGTTCTAAGGCTCCTTTTACAAACCGCTCAATTTCTTTATTATTCAAAAGGTGGGCAGATGCATTGTTTTTATTAAAATATCGGTTTGTCTTTTTGGCAGCTAATCAATTTAATACATAGATTACTTTGAAATACTAAAAACATTATCCACTTTCTCTTCGGTCAATGAAATTCTCTTTTTTTGGTTCAGAAGTATCAGTTTTATCCACTATTGGACTCAATTTTTATTTAGTTATAATATTCTTTGCCCACTGTTCATTTATTCTATCAAATCTGAGCAAAATATAGGTTGGATTTTTCCCAAATGGACTATTAACCGTTTTATGGTGCCCATCTGTCACTGATCGTGGACAATAACATGGGTATTTTGACTTTGTTCACTGCTGTCCTAGGGGAATATCAGGCAGGATTCAGGCCTGGACGTTTCAACCATTAACCAGATCTTTACACTACGACAGATCCTCGAAAAAGCGCAAGAGTTTAACATAGATATGTATCATATTTTTGTCGATTTTAAAGCGGCATATGACAGTGTCTTAAGACCAAGTCTTTACAACGCTATGAATGAGTTAGGAATTCCAAAAAAACTAATATGTTTGATAAAAGTGACAATGGCGAAGATGCTATCAGCAGTAAAAATTCAAAACGACTCGTCAACCCCATTTCAAATACATAGGGGGTTAAGGCAGGGAGATGCGCTGGCGTGTCAGCTTTTTAATGTCGCCTTAGAAAAAGTTGTACGAGACGCTAATTTAGATAGCAGGGGAACAATATTTAATAGATCAGTCCAAATTCTAGCATATGCAGACGACGTGGACATTATAACAAGAACTAGGGCGAGAACTGCGGAAATCCTAACCGAGCTAGTAGCAGCAGCAGAAACCAAATTCATGGCGACTAACACAAACACAAGAGCTGGAAATGTTGACACAAATTTAATCATCAATGACCAAAACTTCGAAGCAGTCAATGAGTTCATATATCTAGGGACATCGGTTAACCCCAATAACAATACATCTGAGGAAATAAAAAGGCGAATAATAATTGCAAACAGGTGTTATTATGGTCTATCAAAGTACTTAGCTAACAAACGTCTGTCTCAAAAAACTCGTATAAGGCTGTATAGAACACTGATAGTCCCCGTTCTCACATACGGATCAGAGGCATGGACGCTAACGAAAACAGATGAATCCGCTCTATCCATTTTTGAAAGAAAGGTGCTACGCAAGATATTTGAAGCGGTCTGTGAGAACGGAATATGGAGGCGTAGATATAACTTCGAACTGCAGAATATCTACAAGCATACGTTTGGTGGTAAAGATATTAGAACTATAATTAAGCGAAACCGCCTGCAGTGGGCAGGACATGTAGCCCGGGCCCCTGAATCGAACATGATAAAAAAGATTCTAACAGCGCAACCTGTGGGAATGAGACGACGGGGTAGACCAAAGCTGAGGTGGATGGATGGGGTAACACAAGATGCGGAGAAGATCGGAGTCGGCAACTGGAAAATTCAAGCAAGGGACAGAACAGAATGGCATAGAAAGCTTGAGAAGGTCGAGGCCCTCTAAGGGCTGTAGCACCAAGATGATGATGATGATGATGATCACTGCTGTCCTAAAAAGCCCAGTAGTGATCAAGTTAAACCATTTTAACCTGGCTGCACCAGTGTTAAATAAAATATATATCGAGTGTTTACGGGGAGTTTATACAGTGTTGAGATAAAGTTTGGAACCAACTAAATATCTCTCATAAGGTTTTGCATGCATATACAATGACAAATAACGCATTTGGCGCCATATTTTTTGCTACTACTCTACTTTCGGTTTTGCCTAAAATATCATTACTTATTTAATTTAAATAGGACACCCTGTATATTTTTGCAGATTAAAAACAACTGGTGATTTCCAATTCACTTTGCATGTAAGGAATAGGTTACTTTATTTACTAAGACCAATGTCTATAATAATTTTAAAAAATTACTTCAAATATTCAATATATTTACAAGTTCACATTCTCCCAATCTGTATGCCTATTAATTTATTTACTAGCATAATAGGAGTAAAAACATAAACTCGTGTCTTGTGTTTTTTGTATAAAAATAATGTAGTAAGAAATAGTCTAGTAGGTAACTGTTATCAAACCAATTCGAAGTAATAATTATTAGAATAAAAATGGTACATTTAAGTAGTAAATATCGTATCGACATATTAATAATAATTGGTTAACGTAATCGTGTTAGAGCAGCACCCAAAAAAAGCTGACAATTTGGCTTATAGATTCATTTTTGTAGACGGAATCTTTCTTTTTTTTTTTGTGTATTTTGGACAATTGTCATTCATCCAGTCTCAATCAAGATAAGTTTATTAATGTAGTGTGTGTGTGTGTGTGTGTGTGTGTGTGTGTGTGTGTTTGTGTGTGTAGAGTAATTGTCTTGATACTTAGCAAAGTCGACGTCATTGTCTTTGCTAAGAGACGCTAATTGTATCCGAACGTCTGCGGTCCCTCCGGTGTGTACCGATCACAAAAGGATAGAAATTATTTTCATTTATTAATTTTTTTAATAAACAAAAATTTCCACCCAGGTGGGATTCGAACTCACGACCTTTAGGTTTAAAGGCAGGCGCTCTTACCACTGCGCCACAGAGGGGATTTAGACGGAATCTTAACTGGTAACAAGTATTTAGATTTACAAAATAACCAATAAACTGCACTTTAACAGAATGGTCAATTACCACAAAATTTTTAGTTTCAACCAGATGGAGTGCTTTTCCACTATTATTATCGACGGGTCAGAAATTTTATGAATGCGAATTTCCTAAATCGATGGATTGGATGTGGAGGACTCATAGAGTGGCCTGCTCATTCTCCGGGCCTTAATCCGTTAGAATATTTTTTTTTGAGGTTATCTAAAATCATGTGTTTACATTAAGTGCTCAACATGTTTGCAGGATTTGAAACAAATAGTTACTGATAAATGTGACTAATACTTTGAAAAGTGTTTTGAAAAGAGTGACTTACGAATTTAATAATAGGCTTCTACATCGTTAGATACTGAATGGCGAGGAATTAGATCATTTGAAGTGTGTTTTTTATATTATTATTCTCATTGGTCTTCTTCTTCTTCTTCAAGTGTCCTGTCCGTTGCGAACGTTGGCTATTAGCATGGCAATTCTGATCTTGTTTGCGGCGCTTCTGAATAGTTCCACCGATGTAAGCCCGAAGCACTTTCGCAAATTTTGGAGCCACGAGTGCCTTCTCATGCCTGGCCCTTGCTTACTATCTATTTTCCCCTGGACAATCAATTGCAGTAGACGGTACTTATCGTGTCTCAATATGTGGCCTAGATATTCAAGCTTACTTTGTTTTATTGTGCTCAAGATTTCTTTCTCCTTTCTGATTCTTTGGAGTACCTTTCTGTTGGTGACATGTTCGGTCCAGGATATACGAAGAATGCGTCGGTACACCCACATTTCGAATGCTTCTAGTTTTCTCGTGAGCGTCTCTGTTAGCGTCCAGGCCTCCATACCATATAGTAAGATCGCAAAAATGTAGCATTTAACTAGACGTAGTTTTAGGGGAAGCGACAAATCCTTACTTATGAGGAGCTTTTTCATATTGTTAAATGCTTCTCTAGCTCGTTCTATTCTTATTAGGTAGGTATCATCATTTTTCACACCTCGCCGTCTTTTTTTAAGATTATCTGATTGAGATGGCTCACCTTCACTTTCAGTGCTTCTATTTTTATCCGAACTAGACATATTAAGCAGAAAAATGTGATTATATTACACGTTAACTGCACACAGTATCGTAACCGATAAATCATTGAAAATATTTCGCGACATGAGGCTTGCATTTTAAACCAAAAACACAGCAGAGCGCAAGGTCAAATACATCATACAAATTTAAATATTTATTTTTTAAAGGTACTAAGTTAGTTTGCTTAGGTCCTTTCTGCGCTAAACCATAATTTTCTCACCATTTAGTTCATTTCTGCACCAAACGGTAGGTTTTGGATCAATAATCAATTTAGCATATTAAAAGAAAAATGGCCGAAATAGTACTTAAGCTCTTTTAGAAGTAATCGATTAAATTTAAGGATATTTCCGATGAAAAGAGAAGTAAAGTAGTAACAAAAAACAGGGAGTCATATGCGTTTCGTATCATTATACTTGCATGTTTCATAAATAGCGTCCCTTTTGTTTTAAAGATATTTAGTTGAATCCATACTTTATCACAATCCTGTATATTATAGCAGCTTTGCTCGAACTCCCTCGAATTCTTGTATAATTAATTAAATAATAATTATTTTTTTGTAATTAACTGCTGTGTTTATTGTACTTAAATTGAAAGACACAAAAGAATTGGTATGTTAAAAAAAAAGTTTTCTTACCCATTTCGTCAATGATAGGAGCCATCCTCAACGTGATACCAACCAAAAGCAGACACATAAATAGCAACAAAAAGGCCGTAGCTACGATTGTCCATTTAGCTCTCTTCGACGAGTCCTCTACTGTGAGATGTTTAAATGTTTCATTTAACTCTCCTCCTTCGACAAAACACGTGTTTTGTGCCATAGCCATTCTCTTTTTTAATTCTTTTTTTCTTCGTTTTCGGCGTTTTCTTCTGGCTCTGTACAAGGCTTCTTCGGCCAAAAGATCATCGATAGGACTCGGTTTATCCGGGTCGATTTTCAGAGAAATGTAGTCGTCGTCGTAGTGGATCCTTAAACAAAAATTAGCGATACAAAACTATTTACTAATATATAAAAACAACAAATTAACAATTTATTACAATTAAGTTATTGCTACTCAAGATTTTTACTACAAATCAGACGGAATTAAAGTGTTTTTATTATTTATAAAAAGAAATTTCTTTATTGTATTCTTTACTAATCGTTTACCGATGTTGCAGTAGTTTTCTTAAGTTTTTTTTTTTCGGAATCTCTTGTGATCATTTCATTTCAGCTGTAAATAGGAATACATCACATGTCCTAGCTTTACAATCATAGGCCAGTAAATGAACGTGAACTATGGCGATACCCTATAATTTTCTGTGTCACCATCGAGTTGCATGAAAATTTTGACTTAGGTTCGACTAACCCTTTACTTCACTTTGGACTTGTGCAGATGGTTTCTTTTTATTTTTTAGGGGCGAAAAGTACCTCTATTAAAAACGTATAATTGTGAATTAAAGAGGGTAATTGATTGAAATCATTTTTTAATGAAGCGAATGAATGTCAATTATTATTAACAACAAAATTTAAGATTTTATCACAGTTTAATCCCAAAATCTCACCCCTAAGATTATTAATAATTAAAACAATGTCATTGAATACCTTGTCTCCACTTATTTGCATGTAAATTTGGATTTACATTTAAAGGGTGAAAACGACCCTTATTAGAAATAAATCATATAGTTGTAAATTTAAATTATTTAATTATACAGTGACATTAACTTTAGTTTCGTTTAAATTTTTTAACACATAATTTCTACCCTTATAAGAACCACTCTTATAAGGTATATAACTCCTGTATCATACCGGTGCTCACCTACGGAGCACAGACATGGACATTTGCACAGGCCAATTTGGATAGGATAAGGAAGGCACAAAGAGCGATGGAAAGACAAATGTTGGGTGTATCACTTAGAGATAGAAAACGTAACCAGTAAATCAGAACCAGAACAAAGACAGTAGACGCGATAGAACAAGCAGCAAAACTAAAATGGAAATGGGCTGGACACAATGAACGTGTCCAAGACGGACGATGGAACAATGCCATCGGAAAGTGGCGTCCATACAATGCAAAGAGATCCAGAGGCAGACCACAGATGAGGTGGAAAGATGACATCAGGAAACAAGGAGGTCCCACATGGCAGAGAACAGCTCAAGATAGGGAAAGATGGAGAGAACTGGGGAGACCTATATCCAACAATGGAAGGATAGAGAATAGGTTCAAAAAAAAAAGAACCACGCTTTGCGAAGAAATTCGAATAGTTGGTTTTATTCAAAACGTTAAGAATTTATTTTATTTTAACCTAAAAACAACCCTTATTAGTTTGTAGGATGGGTGAAAATATGTATGTGCATTGATAGCACATTATGTGTATCCCTTCTGAGATCTCTTAAAATATGTGATTGGTTTTTTACTTATAACTCGGTTAACTTTTGAGCTATGAAGTACTTAAAAACCATTTAGTAGATTTTTTAAGGGCAGCAAGATCGTTTGTATTAATGTTTTCTTAAACCGTTATTTTTTAAAGGGTTGTAGTTAAAAGGGCTTGAACGAAACCAATTAAGAGTATATGCAAACTTTGTACAGCTATATCTTAACCAATTCTTGTCTTACGGAAAAACAAAAAGACCAAAATGTTAAGAAAAGCAAAACCTATATTTTTTTTACTCGTCAGGATTTTGCGTATCACTAATGTTTTTAAGTTATTTCGAAAAATAGGTATTTGGAAAAGTATTTAATATTTATATACATATTTAACATTCAATATTTTTCTTTTATTCGATCGGTACTCACCGGAGGGACCGCAGACGTTCGGATACAATTGGCGTCTCTTAGCAAAAACAATGACGTCTACTTTGTTAAGTATCAAGACAATTACTCTACACACACATACACACACTACACTAGGTACCTGACTGTACCATGCCAATGATCATAGTTGTCAAGGCATTAACTCAATAATAAAAAAAAATATTTTTTAATACTGTATTATAATATGATCTTGTTTAATCATATATTCTAACTACTTATTTACTTTAAAAGATTAAAGTATATTATTTTTCTTCTATTCAATAAAATCTCATTGTCAAACTGGCTAACACATGCTTTTAAGTTAAAAGAAATCGACTTGTCTTTGTTATTTGGGAATTGTCTCGCAGATCATAGAAAACATTATAAAATATCAAATTTCTTTACCATTTAGTTAACTTATCGCCATTCAAAATCGCAATACAATATACTTGATTTATGGGTATGCACTGGCCCCAAGAAACAACGGATCCCCTACATAAGAAGGGCGGTCAGATAATTTCTGACTATTTAGACTAAAAAAATACACTTTTTTAATCAAGACAGCGTACTGAAAACATCTCCAGTTTGTCAGCGACGTCTCTTTTTCGTGCCTAGGTGCCCATTTGCGTCTCGACTTGCAGATACCACTCTTCTACTGCTTGCTAGGACTAATACACCACATTCCAAAGTAAGTTTTTTTTTCTTTGTACAGTTAACAGCAATGAGTTAAGCCAGCTATTTTTCTGCGCTATTATTTTAATTCATTTAACCAGCGACCTTAGTAAGTTTCACACAAAACAATAGGGGTTCTGTTCATAATATTAAAAAATTATTTTTACTTTAAAACCAATTTTTTTCAAAAAGAAGCACTTTCAAGCAGATAGTCTTATTAACAACAATGAGTTAAGCCAGGTATTTTTCAGGATATTTAAATTATTTGCTCTTTTAATCACAATCAAAATAGTGCATTTTTTCTTCGCTATTATTCAAATTCATTTAACCAGCGACCTTATTAAGTTTTACATAAAACAATAGGCATTTTGTTCATAGTTTTAAAAAATTATTTTACTTTAAAACCATTTTTTTCAAAAATAAGCACTTTGGAGCGAACACACTTATAGCTTAAATAAACAAAATATAAATAAAGTAAATTGTAGAGCGGTATCAATTTATTTTATTTTGGGCTGCTAATTGAGTGGTTGAGCTAATTTATATTGGAATCAAACTGCCAAGGTAAGAGTTGACAGCCAGTACACAGTGATCTACAATGTCTACAGTGAAGCGGTATTTCAAGAAGCGCTCTCAGACTCAATAGAAGGTATATCTATCAATGGAGAAGTTTTGAAAACTTACGTTTTGCAGACGATACAGTTAATAATTACGGATAACAACAATGATTTACAGAACGTAATGCAACGCCTTAATGAACGCTGTCATGAGTACGGACTGAAGATAAATTTAAAGAAAACTAAATGCATGATCATGACTAAAATCTGCACATGCAAATATCTAATTGACTATTGAAGATACTGCAATTGAGAGTGTTAATAACTATAAATACTTAGGAACATGGATATCATCAGATGTAGACCAAACCAAAGAAATTAAGACACGTATTGAAATAGCACGTACATCATTTATTAAACTTAAAAAGTTTCTTTGTTGTCGGGATATAAGGTTGTTGTTGTTGTTTGTTTGTGTTTAAATGACTGCGGATACTAAATCCATTCGCCAATCTTACAATTTGAGGTGTAGTGTGTGTGTGTGTAGAGTAATTGTCTTGATACTTAGCAAAGTCGACGTCATTGTCTTTGCTAAGAGACGCTAATTGTATCCGAACGTCTGCGGTCCCTCGGTGTGTACCGATCACACAAGGATAGAAATTACTACGCCTGAGAATGCTTCGATGTTACGTGTTCTCTACTTTTCTTTATGGTCTGGAAGCTTGGACACTAAAACAAGTTCATCTGAATAAGTTAGCCGCCTTTGAATTTTGGTGTTACAGAAGAATCCTACGAATATCATGGATTCAAAGAATGTCAAACATGGAAGTAACTAGAAGGATAGGAAATGAGGCGGAAATAATATTAACTATTAAAAGACGAAAACTTGGGTACTTGGGACATGTGATGAGAGGGCAAAAATACGCATTATTACAACTTATTATGCAGGGCAAAATCCGAGGAAAGCGAAATGTGGGAAGACGAAGAATATCCTGGCTTAAGAACTTAAGAGAAATGGTTTGAATGCAGTAGTGCAGAACTTTTTAGAGCGGCAGTCAATAGAGTCCGCATAGCCATGATGATTTCCAACCTTCGATAGAAGATAGAACTTAAGAAAAGAAGAAGAAGTGAGTGGTGATTTCCACGATGTTTTTACCAAAAAATAGGAACCAACTATATTTTGAGCCAAAGTGCATCATTTTTAGGTTATTTTACCTTGAAATATTTTATTTGGAATTTGACAAATAAGAAACTGCTTACCATGAGCTACAACTCTGCTTCTATTGGGTCTAAGGGTTTCATAAGTACATCATTCTTTTTTTATTTTTTTATAAGCTATATTTTTGCTAGGAATTTTTTTATACATTCTATTAAGGTGAGCTAACATTTTTTAGCTCACCTTAATAGAATGTCACATAGAATGTCTTTTATACTGTTTATTAGTTTATTTTAATTATGGAGAACACGTAGAACCCCTGTCAAACAAAGGTACACGAAAAGCTTTATGTTCATCCAAGAATCGCAGAAGAATTTCACTTGGAAAGAAATAGATAGCAAACCAAAAAAATCGACTTAACATTTTCACTCGTAAATAACTGAAAACGTATTGACTTGTGAAAAAACTCTATGAAAAAAAAGTTGCTTAGAATTTGTCAAATTATCTATTTCCGTACTTATTTTGAATGTAAGTTTTTTCATTTCAGAGAAGGAGTAGCTTTCACCACTTAAGTAAACGCAACCCTGGACTTAAATCCAAAAGTGCATTAGAGGGTAAGATGAACCTAAATGCAAATTTTTAAGCAAAATTACACTCCAAAACGATCATTTACTGAAGTGTCGTCGGCGCCGTCGCCTCCTGAGCTAATAAATAACAAAAGTTAATTTTAAAACTAAAAAGCGAGTTGTACACTAAGTCAATCATTTTCCTTTTTAATGTTAAAAAACGGAGTTCGATTTTAAAGTTCGTCTTATAAAC